TGTAGTGTTGGTGGAGGTAAGAAATTTGAGAAATTTTTATTAATTGATTTGATTGATTGATTGATTGATTTTTTTTTGATGGTTTGCTGGATGGGGTTGAAAAAGTAAATGTTTGATTAACTAAAGGTCTTGGATCAGGGAGATCTATATCTTTGATGCCTAGTGAAAAACCACCTGCAGGTATTTATTTAGGTAGGCATGTGTAATATATGAATACTTATTATTAATAATGGTATTTTGTTATTACAGGTCACGAGGGAGCAGGAGCAGGCAGACTTTTCACATTAAAGACCAGTATCATTTTTAAACGAATTAAAAATCATCTAAAGTTAGAACATGATAAATATAATTGATCAATTGATAAAGATGATGATAAAGATATTAAAAATGATTTAGAAAAGAAATCATAAATATTAACAAAGAATAATTATACTGAAAAAAATCTATCAATTATTCATACATAATATTTATATAATTATTGTTAGTAAGCTGAAAAGCATAGACAAAAATCAACAATTGGAGTCTGGTAATTATAAATAAATAAATAAATAAATTTTATGAATAAAATTTTTATTTCTGGTGTTATTTCAAAAACCAACCCACATTCTCTCCTTCTAATTAAAGATGTTTCAGTGCTATCACCAGAAAAAGCAGATTAATATTTTACAGGAGAAATGTCACATCATGAAGTATTGGCAGCATTGGCAAAGGATAAAAGTGTATTTTATGTAAATATTAATTATTTAATTTATTTATTTCTAAAATTTAAACAATCTTTTCCTTTCCTCTCATTCCAAAAAAAAATAAACCGTTAATTAAAAAACTACTGTCAAGATTAAAGTATTTTTTTAAAATAAGCTTGAACAATATTGAGACAACATACTCACTAAAGTTGCTTGAAATAAGGAGAAGCTTGAATATTCTGATAAAGAATGTTATTCAAATTCATAGTAACCTCATTCCCCAAAGTTTCAAGTTTATTTGATTGTTTTGAGCCATTTTTATCTTGTTTTTTTGTCATGTTTAAAGCTGATGTGGGGTTGTTCATGTAATTTCTATTTATTTATAGGAATTTTTTTTGCAATCAAATTTGGAAAGATTTTTAAACCAATAAATTTCCATTATCAGGTATTACAAAACATGGAATTACGTA